TCGATTGCTCTAAATACAAAACCAAATTACAATCTGAAATGAAAATTTGCGTAAACATTCAACTGACCAATTAATCTAAATATAAAAAAAAACTACGTTTATAATGTCCAGGTCCCGCGCGAGTGGGGAGTTTAGGGGAGTGTACACACCCCCTCCCCCAAAAAAAACCAAAAAATTTCAGTTTTTTCCGCCCACAAATGCAGATTTTGTCTACATTTTATAATTTTTCTGCAAGATTTTTCTGAAAATTCTTCCTTACACCCCCCCGCCCCAATCCGCCGTACACCCCCCTAATATTTGATCCTTCGCGCGGGCCCTGATAATATCACTTACCTTACTCTTTCTCGCATCAATTGTTCCAAATAGAAAATGAAATTGAATATTGAAATGAAAACTCAATCAAGTATTGAAATGGTAAATCAATCTAAATATAAAATAAAGTCAAATTTGAAATATAAGTTACAAACAGTTGTATATTTCAATTGATGGATATACAAAATTAAATCATAATTCGAAAGAAATATTTTCGTAATTATTATTCCGGTCATTTGATCTAAATATAGAATAAAATCGTTTTAGAAATATCACTTAGTAACCGTTAGTTATTTTGATTGCTTTTTGAACTAATAGCAAATACGCAAGTTGTACACATCGATAAATGTCGCTATACTAATTTTCTGTCGCTCTCTGGATTTTAGCAGCCCGAAAAATCCTTTTTTTTTCAGTTGATTTGTGTATTGGAAGAATTTTTGCCAGAAAAGTGGAATTCAAGAATGAGTTTCATCAAGATGCATAAGAAGATTTCGAGTTCAACATTACTTAAAAGACTCGTCCAACTCTGATAACATACCAGAGACCGTCATAGGGGGTTTTTGTACGCCGTATCGTGCCCTGCTCTGATGGCATAGCAAGTTTCAATAATACTCTTAAACTGAGCATATCCATTGCACTTTTTTAAGACTTGATAAAATAATGTTATCGCTTTCAAAAGTCGGTATCCATATTCTTATGCTACGATCAGCTCTGATATATTATTGAAAAGAATCTCAAATCTGAGAGCAGCAACCAAAATGAAAACTTGAAATATAATTTTAATGGATATTTTTCTATTTAAAACATGATCAGAATATTACTATTTTAATCAAAGTATTCAAGTGTGCATTGATTTTACTCACTATTTGAGTAAAAAGCATTTTTGTCGAGGTTTAACTTGAACACTCAAATGCTTTTTCGAATTCCTCACCTTAGCAAATGATAACTGTAACACTACGGCAACCTTTGATGCATATATCATACTTCAAGATACACCAATATGTGATATTTACTCGGATAAGTGAAATATCGATAAATTTGACCACATCTTCTCCACAGTATAAAAACACATGTCTTTTTAATGAAATATAACATTTCTCTTTTCATAGAAGTCTTGTAGTACGAGTTGGCTCTATGTTACCGTTTGTCTATAAACTCAAATATTTTCCAACAACTTTCTCTCATTCACCGTTGGCTTTTAAGATAGCTATGCCCTTGTGAATACCAATTTTTTCACTGGGAAAAACACTTTTATTAGGAAGAAAATAATTTTAGTTGCAAAAAAATGTTTTTTTTTCTACTAGAATATGGTTTTTTCTCTGCTTTGTGAAATAAATACAAGTACAATCTTTATAATGATAAAAGGAGGATAAGTAAATTCTTTATTTTATGAGTACAAACATTCTTCATTCGATTCAAATGGACTGAGTATCAAATAATTGCATTAAAATTGGCGAAAAGTATTTCCATGTGTATCAATTTCTTTATTAGAAAAATTGAGCTAGAATCAGACACTTGCTCATTTATTTGGCACAGGGCAAAATTTTTTGCTCTGCTCTGTGAGGATCTCTGTAATATACTAGTTATGAATTTCGGTGAATAATGTTCATGAATACTGACTCAGAACAATTAAAAAGCGGTTGAATATGTTACTCACTTTCAATCCCTTGAGCCACAAGCAAAGCTAAGGAGCGGTCTCTTATGTGGAATGTTCCGGCTGCGATACTTTCATGAGGTTTAGTACGAAACCTGTAAGAGTTTAATACAAAACCTTTGATGATTTTGAAAAATAACAGAAGTATCATACAAAACCCTTTTGACTACTAAACCTAGAATGGTTCGATACGAAACTTTTGATGATTTTGAAAACTCACAGAAGTATGATACAAAACTCTTTTTACTACAGAACCTTTGAAAGATTTCGTAGACGCGTACGGATACTTTCAGAATGTCATAAAATACTACTGAACCTAAAAGGTTTCGTGTGAAACCAATTTTTTTTTCAGTGTAGAGTAAAATTTGTACTAGATCTGGCACTGTTAAAAAAAGTTATTCATCATATCGCCCACATTTTCCCAAAATGCCAAGTGTATAGTGTTGCTGTGAGGTTTTCAGAAGGGCTGTGTGGGTGTGAGCTCCTTCTTAACCTATACCTCAATAATACCCACCCAACCACACTTACACTCCCATCCGCTCTCCACATCCACACCCACACACCCGCACCCACTCACGGCCAGCCACCCATCCGTACTCATCCACTCACATCCACACTCTAAAGAAGCGGATTGAACTTCGGAAGTGTTATTCTACTGTTAAGAGCATTGACTACACTCATAACCGCTCTATGAATTTGTATCACTAAAAAGATGCAAAAATTATTTGAAATAATCACTTATTTGTCGTGTGAATCTTCTTTGGCAAATACAACATCGATTAAAGATTTTGAAGATTCATTCATGAAAGGAACATTGGGTGTGCATGAAAGGAAGAAATTCATAGGACACCCACATATAAGTTTTGTCGGCGTTTTTCCGTGTACACTTTCTACCTGCACCATGTTGCATAGTCTATCGACAGGAACGAAAGAAAAAAAGACCGAACGCAACAATAATAAAAATACAATACTGCATGTTTTTGTTTCGTTTGCTTACTCTTTGTTTTTTTTCGTTCGTAGAATAAATCTGTGTTTGCACGAAGACATCGGGCATGTGTTATAATAATGGCGTTGTTCATCGTTGTTTTTGAGCGAGTAAAATACAATCGGTGTCTTCAGTATCGTTGCGAAATTCGTATGAGTTAGGTTGTCCACTGATAGAAGAAAAAAACACCAAATACATGATTTATCCTTATTACATGATTTTTCATTATTCATAAATAATTGTTACTATGAGCATATTTATGAACAGCGGGAGCAAGACTACTGATTCTTTGCCAAGTTTATATAAGCATATGTGACTTCTTTTTCCATTTATATGAACA